CAATTCATTTATTTTTCTTTCACCAGAGTCATATTAATTTGAAGAAGTGAAAAAGGTAGATTAATGGTAGTGAATGACACGATCCAGGCACTGAAGGAAGCAGGGACTGAGCAGTGAATACACAACAGGTGTTTATTGAGGGATCGGCTTTTTCACAGTCAGACAGGCCAGGGTCAGAGCCAGGGAATCCAAATCCAGGTCAGACGGTTCCAGATCTCAGGGTCAGACAGACGGAGGGTCAAAAGCCAGGAGGTCCAAATTCAGTGGAGTAGGTCAGGATCGGGGGCAGGAAGGGCATCTGGACAGTAGGGAAGAGACAGACAGGTTAATAACCAGGCAAATAGCTCAAGTAGCTAACAGCAGGCCTGATGGTGTTACTGCTGAGGGTTTCACAACAATCTGACACTGTGCAGGAGGAAGATCTGTCCTTATATGGCAGTAGCTGGAGATCAGGGTGATGATGATCAGGTGTGAGTGGTCACAGCTCAGCAGCAACTGTGACAGTGAAAGCAAAATATGAGTGTTTTAATATTGTTTTTGTTAATGTACATGCTCCAATCACAGGACAAGAAAGGGTTTTCTGTTTTTACATAAACTTGAAAATGTTTCATGTAAATGTGATGCATAAGATTTTAAGTTTTTGGCTGGAGATTTTGATTTTACAGAAAATGATCAATTGGATAGGAACCATTTCTTTCTTAAAACATTTGATTGAAGTTTTTTCTTTGGTTGATATTTGGAGAGAAATGCATATTCAAAAAAGACAAATCGTTAAAAAAAACAGTTTAAAAACAAACATACAATTTAAAACTAGATCTCACCGGTTGTGCAATGTCAGGAATGTTGTATTTGTAGAGTGTTGAATCCTTGTTATGTCAAATCAAAAGAAGGGTGTAAAATTAAATGAAATGTTACCTTTTCAACTTTCTGCATAAGCGGATGACATTAATGTAGCTATACCAGGGGAATCAGATGTCTTTACTTTAACTGAAATTATTGAATGCTTTGGTATTATTTCTTCATCCACAGTTAATTGGAGCAAGAGTGAAGCTTTGTTAGATGGTAAGTGGACAAAAGAGGAACATAAACTACCTGATGAATTAAAATGGGTGAAAAATGGTTTTAAATATTTGGGTGTTTGCTTGGGGGATCAAATGTAGATCATCTAAAATTGGGAAGGTTTTAGTGAGCTGATGGAGGGTAGGTTAAAGAGATGGAGGCCATACACTTATTATTAATAATCTTGTTGCTTTAACTTTGTGGCATCGCTTAACTATCTTGGAACACCCGCCAAGTCTTTCGGTGAAATTACAAACTATTATTTTAAATTTCTTTTCGGATAGATTGCATTGAGTCCTGCAGAGTGTTTTGTTTCTATCAAAGGAAGCCGGAGGGCAAGGTTTGATTCATTTAGAAAGTAGGAACGCGACCTTCAGATTACAGTTTTTACAGAGTTTTGTGTATGGTGATCAAAATGTTTTGTGGAGACAGGTTACAGGATGTTTTTTATTTTTTCAAAAGTTGGAAATTTAGATTCTATTTCTGACCACTCAAAATATAGTGTAAAGTGTTTGTCACCTTTTTATGTTCATGTATTAAAATCTTGGAACCTCATGGAAACAGAGACTTGGAACGTTCACATCTTTAAAGTGGCTAATACTGGAACCTGTCCTCAAGGGATCTCATCTGGGTTCAGCTTGGGACAATATGGCTATGATTTCTGAACTGTTGATGAAAAGGGGCGTGGTTATGCTGAAACATCTGCTTGAACTTGTTGGAACGGAAATGGATGATGTCGTTTCCTTAGCTCAAAGATTGGAAAATCACTCTATGAACTGTAGGCATATTGCTGCCAAAAATTAGGCAAATGTTATCAGAGGCTGACAAAAAAGTCATAAAGGGATGGCTTAATGGACTTCTAGCACATGATAAAGCAGGTATTTTCTTTAAATTGTGTTCTAAGCCAAAACTGAAAAACTTTGAATGTCCTGGACTTTTTTTTTAGAGAAGGATAAAAATGAATGGACGTTTTTGGATTCTGTGAATGGAAAGATTATGAGATGTGCTAAGGCTTTGAACAAACTAAAATTGAAAGATATAAAAGATACTCCTTAGAAAGATTTTTTTTAAAGTTGGTTTTGAGGTGAAACCTGGATGGGGGTTACTTTATAAGCCAACATTGACTAAAAATATTGGTGATTATAGTAGATAATCTTGTATGGTAATTTTGCAGTTAATGCTTTGGTTTCTGTTATTAGACCTGTTGTTTCAGATAAATGTCCCTTCTGTTCATCAAGATAAAATATTTTTCCTTGTTTTGTATAATGTTTCAGAATTATGGATTTATTGACATTACTAAGAGATATTTGGGAATCATTTAGAGAAAGTTTCACAGAACAGATTTTTATTTTTGGTTTTACATATGACAAAGGGAAAAAGAAAACTGGATGGTTATTGAATTTTTTTCTTGGTCAAGCAAAGTCAGCAATTTATTTGAGCAGAAAATATAAAATTAATAAGGAACAGAATACTGATTGAGTAAAGCTTTTTAAGAGTATGAATAAGAGTGATGTTATTGAAAAATGGATGAACTAAATGTGTTGCGTACAAAAGAGCTTTAATAGACTAGACTAGTGAGAGCTTGCCACACTTATAATTTACTTTAAATAATTCTGAACTTTCATTTATGAATGTGTTAAATTAGGTAAATTAAGTTGTTAGATGTTCATATGGATCACTACTGAGTGAATAAATGAGTATTTCCAAATCAATCAATTTCTCTCTCTCTCTCTCTCTCCCTCTCTGAGTGAATGGCGGAGTGAATGGAGCTGGAGACGGGAGTGTCGGCGTGAGTGGATTTTTGAGTCTTCTTTCTACTTTTTTCTGCAAGGTGTTTCAAACACTTTTCTTTGTACAGTTACTTGTTCTGTAAGTTGGTTTTTGGTTGTTCCAGACTGGTCTGGTAGTTTTTTGCTACCGGTTTGGTTTGGCATTTGGCATCATGCCCGTTGTGGAGGGCGGTGCAGAGTTTGAAAAGTTGACACGCCGTCATGCTGTCAAACTCATACCAACAGTGAATTGTTCAGTAGAAGAGGCAGCTTTAGCTGTTGGAGGAGCGGTAGGTTGTGATAGTGTGAGATCTGCTTCCCGTATGAATGGAGCGATTGTGATTTTTCTTGATAGTACATCTAAAGTGAATGAGTTGGTTGAAAGGGGTGTTGTCATTCATGACCCTTTCACACCGGTTCTCCCGCTGGTTAGTCCAGCTAAAAAGATCATCATCTCAAATGCACCCCCGTTTATTAAAAACGATCTCCTTGTTAAGGAGTTGTCACGCTATGGACAGCTTGTTTCACCCATAAAGATGGTTTCTTTAGGGTGTAAATCTGTGCTTCTTAAGCATGTCGTGTGTCACAGAAGGCAGGTTTTTATGATCCTTAAGGACAGCTAATGAGTTTAATCTGTCCTTTAATTTCAAAGTAGATGGGTTTAATTATATGGTTTTTGCCTCTTCAGAGAACATGAAATGTTTTGGTTGTGGTGCCGAAGGTCATATAATTCGATCGTGCCCAGAAAAACTCAAGAATACACAGTTAGTGAGGGCTGGTGATGGTGGTAGTTCCATTGAAGCGGGCTGCGGTGCCGTCGAGGCGGCCCAGGGTGCCGCCGGGGCGGGCCCCACGGCCGCTGGTGGTCTCACGGTAGTCAGTCGTTGATGCTACTGGAGCCGGGGATCCTGGTGATCCTTCTGTTGTAACTGTAGAGGAACAACATGAGATGCAATCCTCTATAAGTTGTGATCACTTTAATAAAGTTGATACCACTGATGGTGAGATGATACATGATCAGTCTATCAATAGTTTTGATGCAGGTTCAGAGGGAAAAAGATCTGATGAAATTTTTGTGAAAACCTTTGTGAAGATGAAAGCCGGCTTGATGACGATTTGTTGAAACTGTCTCAGAAAAGGAAAAGTTCTGAACCTGCCAACAGCAGCACTAAAGCTCTCAGAGCTAAGAGAGCAAACAAAGCAGGAGAGAGCAGCTTGGAGTCTGATAGTAGCTTTTCTTTGAGCCAAGATCAGCAGAATCTGTATCCTCCTGCTGAAATTAAGAAGTTTTTGCAAAAAACTAAAGGACTCAGGATGATTAAAATTGAAGAATATTTTCCAGATCTAAAATTGTTTGTTGAATCCTCTCGGGTTTTAACAAAGAAAACTGGACATTTTGTTGATGACGTGTTAACAGATCAGGAAATATATCGCTTAAAGAAACTGATTTTGAAAGTCAGAGCTCAAGCACTCACTGCTGCTGATGATGATATTTAGAGAAATATTTTACATGTCTTTGTGTCTTTTCTTTTGTTTCTTCATTTCAAAGTGTGATTTTAAAATAGGCACTTTAAATTTACATGGTGCCAGAGATGAAGAAAAAAGGGCTGAGTTTTTTAGACTTATGGCTCTAAAGAACATTGATATAATGTTAATTCAAGAGACACACAGCACTGTTGATAATGAGAGTGATTGGAAGAAGGAATGTAGAGGGGAGGTCTTTTTTAGCCACAAGTCCAGTTGCAGTGGCAGTGTTGGGATTGTGTTTTCTAAGACTTTTTTGCCTGTTTCTTGTGAAGCAGAGGAAATAATTGAAGGCCACTTATTAAACATTAAAGCCAAGTTCACGCAGGGCCGGTAATATGGGGCCTTAGACAGAACCCCTGTCTCCCCAAAACCCTTCCTACTAAGAACCTCAGCATCACTAACAGTGTTTAAATATATACAACCCCTGGCAAAAAGTATGGAATCACCAGTCTTGGATGAGCACTCATTCAGACATTTCATGCTGTAAAACAAACTCAGATCAAAAACATGATACAATAATAAGGTCATTCCAAAGTGCAACTTGTTGGCTTTCAGGAACACTCAAAGAAATGAAGAGAAAACATTGTGGAAGTTAGTGAATGATACTTTTATTGACCATGCACAGGGAGGGAAATAAATATGGAGTCACTCAATTCTGAGGAAAAAAGTGTGGAATCACTCAAATTGGAGGTAGAAAATAAGGACACACCCAGTCTACTTCCTTTCCCTAAATGGACATCTGCCCCAGATTAGATGTGTCTGTTAGTCTGGAGTTAAAAACACCTGCAGTCATGACACCTTGGAGGGCTGCTGGACAAAGTGGAGTGGCAAGAACCATGGCTCCAACAAGATAAATGTCCCTTTAAACAAAAGAGAGGATGGTGAAACCTCTTGAAGAAGGTAACCCTTCACACATGGTTGCTAAAGATGTGGGCTGTTCACAGTCAGCTGTATCCAAGATATGGTCCTAATACAAACAGCATGGAATGGTTGTTAAAGCCAAGCGTACTGGTAGACCAAGAAAGACATCAAAGCGTCAAGACAAACAACTTAAGGCCATTTGTCTTGAAAACTGAAAAATTACAACTAAACAAATGAAGCATAAATAAATAGGAGGAAGCTGGAATCAATGTATGTGACCGAACCGTAAGAAATCACCTAAAGGATATGGGATTTCAATACAGGAAAGCTAATCAAAAACCACCGTTGACACCTAAACATAAAAGAACAAGACTCCAATGGGCTAAGGAGAGGCAATCATGGACTGTGGATGACTGGATGAAAGTTGTCTTCAGTGATGAGTCAAGAATC